GGCGTCCAGCTGAATCCCACTGGACAGTGCACAGAAAGAGACATTCCCAGGGTTGGGGAGGCTACTTGTGAACACAACCACCCAGTGAACCCTGCTAGGAACTCAGCCTTACAGGTGAAAGGAGAGTTGGCCTGTTCTCCATTTGCTCACTAAAGGGCACCCAGCCCCAAAATAAAGATCTGGAGGCAGATGTCTGCAGTTTTATCCAGATGACCCACACTGGCCGGGGTGTTGGCCCATCTGGGGTTGAGGTTCCTCTGCCCATTTGACTGTGACCGCCAAGAGCTTCTGGGAAGAGGCACCTGCAGCTGCCTGGCTCTTCTAGGGGAGCCAAGGTGAGAAAAGCACAGGCAAAACTGCCTGGAGTTGGCTGGGTGAAGAGGGAAAATGCTGTTGGGATTTGCAGTTCCTCTAACTCATGACCCAGTCTCTGGTTTTACTTATTTTTTTCTCGTGGCAAAATGCATATAACATGGAATTTACCACTTTAACTCCTTTTATGTGTACCATTTGGTGACTTGGGTACATTCACAGTGTTTAACACTCATCACTACCATCTAGTTTCTAAACTTTTCATTGCCTCAAAAGGAGCTCCATACCTAGTAAGCAAGCACTTGTGCCTCAGTCCCCTGGTCCATGTCCTCCAGCCACTGCTAACCTGCTTTCTGATTTTATGGATTGATGTTTTCTAGATATTTCATATGAAAAGAATCAAACAATATATGGACTTTCATGTGTCGCTTCTTTATTTAGCCTAATGAAAATCATTCCAACATTCCACCTCCCTGAGAAAGGCCCAGGCTCTGTTCTGGGCCTTCTATTTTCTCTAAAACCCCTTCTAGATATTACCAAGATCATAAATTTCATAGACAAAAATAGGAAAGGTCAAATATGTAGCTTTTTGAAAAGCATGAAGGTGCATATATCTTCATGATACTGGGGTCAGCAAGCATTTTCCAAACAAGACTCAAAAAGAATTAGCCTTGCTAGGAGTGATGGTGCCCACCTATAATACCAGAAGCTTGGAGGCTGAGGCAGGAGGACTACAAGTTTGAGGCCAGCCTTGACAAGTTAGTGAGACCCTATCTCAAATTTGAAAAAAAAGAAAGAAAAAGAAAAAAAGGTCGGGGAAGAAACTTAGAGGTAGACTGTTCCTGGGTTCAGTCCCCATCACTGAAAAACAAAACAACAACCAACCAACCAACAACAAACAACAACAACAAAAAAAATTAATATTAAAAGAAAATGTAAATGAGACAACTAAATGTGGGAACCTTCTGTTTATCTAAAGTCACCATTAAGAGAGTTAAAAGGTAGCCACAGATTGCTTAAAGACATTGGTCTCACACATATCTAACAAAGGATGCATATCTACAATATATAAAGAACTCCTATGATCCAGTCAGTTTTTCTCAAACATTTTTTTGGGGTGCAGTGTCTCCTTCATGGGAGGCAAGTACTCTACCCCTGAGCTATAGCCTTAGTCCCTCAAAAACATTTTAAAAAGTCGTAGAGATATGGATTTGCATTGTAGCTCTTCTGCCTGTTTGGGATCTTGGATGAGTGTATGTGAGGTTCTGACTCCCCAAATTAATTCTCATATTTCCAGATTAGGAGCAAAATCCAAGCTCTACTTCTTTGTTGTGTTTCCTGTGAGAATAAATAAATGGTTCATGAGTCAGGGTGTGGATTTATGTGTATATCAAGGTCTCCTCCGCCCCCCTCTTAAATTTGATGATTTGGGCCTGGCCGAGCCTGATCTGTGTTCCCCGGCTGCTGGCAAAGCCCAGGTGTGGAAATGCTCCCTTACGTACCCTGGGGGTCAGGTAAGGCAGAAACAGGGAAGAAGGTGGGGGAGATGGAGAGAGACCAATATTAAATGCCAAGCTAGGGAGTCTAGAGTTATCTTAAAGACAATAGGTGGCTACAAAAGTTTTGAGGGAAAAGGGGATGTGAGGAGGAGGGGAGAGACAGAGAGCTTTGGAGAGCCGAGGTCAGGGGTGGTAAAAGATTTCCAAGAAGCAGCCATATTAGGACTTCTGCTTCAAAGGAAGGAAGCCAATGAGTGAGAAAGAAATCAGAGTAGAGAGTAGTTTTGGTGTAGATGGTGGGCAGGAAGCAGATGAGGGGAGCTGGGCAGGACAGGTGTCCAGCTTCACCCCTTCATTCAACTTGATAGAAACACAAAGTCTGGGCCCCACCCAGACCTGAATGAGAGTTTGTAGGGGCGGGCGGAGCACTCGCTCTGAACCAGCCCTCCAGGGATTTTGATGCTCATATTGAAGAACCACTACAGAGGTGCAGGGTTTCCCTGGTCCTCACTTTGAGAGACTCTGGTAAAAAGGCAGCAAGCACAGAGCCATCCTGTTCAGGCAGAGCAGGTAGAAGAAAAGGGAAAGCTCCTCCTCCCTCTCCTGATTGCCCTGTAGGCTTCAGCCCAAGGTCAGCCTTCGGGAGCAGAGGGAGGGATTCCTCTAGAGATAAGAGTTGGCAACCAATTGGCCTTTGCTCAAACACTAGTTCTTGAAGGGCAGCTGGAACCCAGTTCAAAGGCTTATGCCCCCCAAGTTTATCACCCCATCTTGCTTCCTGCCATGAACTTTCTTGGGGGGAAGTCCCTGTCTTTCCCCCACCCAAAGACACAAGTGTTAATTGGAAATATGGGCCTAGTAATTGACCACTCATGCAGAGGCCCTACAGCTGACCCGGGTTCTGACCCAGGGCTTCCTTATCTGTTAGGCTAATGTTTACAAATAGCAGCCCTGGGCAGTGCCTGAGTCTGGAGGGGAGGGTCTAGGGATGAGGGAGGGCCGGGAGATGGGGGAGGGCCTGGCTGAGCCTGCATTCTGCTGACTTCGCACCTCCTAGGGTTTGCCCTGTCTTCTGAGGTGAGCTTCCTGTGGTGGGGGATGTGTGGGTGCTTCTCTGGCTGGCAGGGTGAGCTCCCCAGTGAGATTGATCCTTTCTTCTACTCTTTTCAGAAAACCTTGCCTTAATTCATAGGATGAAATTCAGGTTAATTTGAAGTCAGAAGTGCTGGTTAAATAGCTTCACTGTCTTTAAGCTTTACCCAGCTTCCCACAGGGGGCCTGGACAGGAGGTCTGTCCCTCTAGTTGGGGAGTGCCCATGCTCCGTGCCGCCTCAGCCCTGGTGTCTCCAGTTAAAGGAAGCCTGCCACATCTCTGGGAGGATGTGTTAAATTAACCGAACAACTACTTGAGAATCATGGGGATTACCATTGTGTGTGGGGGGGATGGCCATTAGCTGAGAAAGAGGCTTTAACTTCCACAATTTTTAAATTTAGGCTGAAGTAGCTGCAAATATGCAAAATTTCTACCAAGCTACATGGTAATTAATCTCCCTCCCATTCTTCTTTCCAGTTTACCAACTTCCATCCCTCAAAGGCAACCATTCTTCCTAATTTTTTGTGTGCATACAAACATATATAAGGATAAATTCTCATTTCCATCCTTTCACACAAAGGTTACTTATTTTGCACATTGTTCTTAACTTTGCATTTCCCCCCACTTATTAACAGCCTTGGAATTTTCCATGTCAATTTATGTGTCCTTGTTATTTTTAACAAATGTGTAGTATTCTGGTATGTGGATATGCTATAATTGATTTCACCAGTCCCCTCATATGGCCATTTGGGTTTTGTCCAGTCATCGTTGTCACAAACAGTGCTATAATACTCCACCTTGTGTATATATATTTTTGTATAGACCCAATTGCATCCACAGAATAAATTCATGAAAATGAACAGCTAGGTCAAAGGGTAACTGCTTTGGTAATTATGGTGGATATTTCTTCTAATGGTTAGGTAGAAAAGACAGCATTTGAGTTTCTTTTCTAGGTTTTCTAGCTGTTTGATCCAGAACCTGTTGCTCACCTGCTCTGAGCTTCAGTTTTTAAATTTACAAAGTGTGGCCCACACAGGCTGGGGGTGTAGCTCCGTGGGAGAGCATTTCTTGGCATGCTGGAGGCCCTGGGGTTGATCCTCGGCTCTGCAAATAAATGGATGAAAAAACAATAAAATGTGGCCCACACGGTTGTGAGGATAATATGAGATCAGCTACATGAAACCTTTAGTTCAGAGTCAAACACAGAGCAATATAGCTTCCCAAAGGCAGGTGTCCTGGGTTCTCCCTGTGCCCGCTGGGGCCAAGGACTGAGCCCACCTGTCAGCCTACACTCCTAACTGGAGGACTGTGGTGCCTTGTAGCTCCTGATGATCTGTGAATAGAGCTCTGGGTCTCTCCAGGGCCTTTCTAGGACTAGTTTTTGGACAGACTATAATGGAATCTTCCTGAAGGAAGTTACCGGGTCTGCCTTAAGTCCTCAGAGCCCTGGTTCCTGGCATAATTCACGACCAAACACCCTGTGTTACGTTCGTTATTTGCCACTAACCTTATACAACGACAAGTATTCTACACAGACGATTCCATTTAGAACGATTCCAGAGGATAGAAAACACTACCTCCGAGCCAACCTCTTTATCATTATGCATTCTTGTCCATCCATATGGGTTGCTTTGAGTCTGCATGGCCTTCATCTCCTTCACCCTGCCCCCTCCCAGGGGCAAGATGACTGGAGTGTGGGGTTTCCTGTTGCTTGTATTTTATTTACCCTGGGATGGACCCTCATTTAGAATGTGTGCGTTCAGATGAAAGGGTGAGTTTGATTTTATATGACCAGAAATGCAGGCCACGCATGGAAAAGGAACAAACCTACCTGGTCCTTCCATCTCAGGGTGCCTGTGTGAAACTCTCAGCCTGGACTCTGTTGCTGCCAATGTTTAGTACAAAAGTCAGCCGGCAACCACTTTGAGGTCTCGCCCTGAAAAAGGAATATCAGACCCTTCCAGATAGATCCCGCGCGGCACATCTGCATTCCTGCCTCTGTTCTGTTTCCTGTTACAGGGGATCAGGATCTGTTTGGTGGGTCTATTTCTGAAGCCCTAGAGCCAGGTGGCTCAGGCACTTCATTGATCCAGGACATGAGTAGAGAGAAGGAAGAGGACTCTTTCAGTATACTCAGGATTTATGATGAACCAGAGGAGAGAAGGAATATGCCAGAAAGCTCTGGTATTTCTTCTCAGCATGAACAAGTGCAGTACCAACCGGACAGTCCTTGTGAAATGCTCCAGATCCCTCCATGTCCCCCCATGCAGCATGGCCCTGTTTATCAGGAGATGAGCGGTATGACCCAGCAGCAGTGGGACCTGCAGACCCTAGACACATCTGAGCTCCGGGCCATGTGGTTCTCGGGGGCAGAACCAGGAGAGGCAGCAGAGGCTGGCCCCAGGTGGGGCTCTTTCAGCAAGACCGGGTGGGGCGGCCCCGTGTCCCAGGGAGAGGGGATTCCTGCAGGAAGCCCTGTCTTCATGCCTCCTCCTCTCATTTGTCACAGCTTCCTACCAGGATCTGCGCTTGGTAAGTACTGGCTGTGACAGTGTGGGCAGGAAGGCGACGAGGAACGGGGGCCTGGCGTCAGGAGAGCATCCCTCTCCCCGAGATGTGCAGCTCTCGGTGCTGACACCCTCTCCACCAGCGGGTGGGTGTCGCTGTCCTGTCTTCCCGCAGGCCAGCCCTCTTCTTCACTTTCCCCCAGTAGAGAAGTCTGGTCACTCCTCAGAGGGGTCGTAAGTACCTTCTTGTCCTGGTCTCTGACCCCCGGGAGCCTCCCTTTCCCACCTGCCTGCTAGTTGAGAAACAGTGCGTCTGCGCTCTCCCTCCCTCCCCTGCGTGTGGTGGTGTCCTGAAGGAAGCTGCCCTCCTCTTCCCACCAGCCCCACAGTAGGCCTTTCAGCTCATAGTGACACTCCTTCAAGGGATGTGGCCCGGGAGCCTGGAGCCACACTCTGCTGTTGGATGGATTGATGGTTAGGAATTTGCTTAGTGGACAGGACCATGCTGTCCCCGTGGGTGGCAGCAGATCAAGGCCATGACCCTCTCATTGCCTCCCACCCTGTACTCTTCCCAGCCTCCCATTCCAGGTGAAGTGGTGGTCAGGCAGAGGCCCCCACGGGATTCCTGGAAGGTTGGCATGCTCCGCCACGGGAAGAGAGTCTACGCGGTGGCCGTCGGTGGTGCAGCCCGCCACGTGTACACATGTGGCTCCGGCTACATCAGGGTGTGGGACGAGAGTGCTCTGCACGCCTGGGACAAGGCCCCTGAGGCCCAGCTGGACCTGCAGGTCAGGGTGTTCTAATAGGGATGGGGAACCCAAAGAAGGCCTCTATTTCGGCGAGGCAAGGTGACACGAGTGTGCTCTGTCCCTGCAGAACCCTCAGAACTGTGTCCTTACCTGCAAGCTGTTCCCCGATGAGCAGAGCCTGATCACGGGAGGCGTGTCCCAGACCCTGACTCTCTGGGACCTGGCGCCCACACCCCGCGTCAGGGCACAGTTGGCCTCCACAGGCCCCATGTGCTATTCTCTGGCCATCTCCTCTGATGCTCATATCTGCCTGGCTTGTTTCAGAGGATTTGTGGAGATCTGGGATTTACAGAACCAAATCTTGATCAGGTATGACCTCTCTCCGGAGCTACTTAGGTGCCCCTGGGGGAGGGCTTGGCTGGGACACCTCACCTTCCCCTCTTGGCAGTAGGGTAATTCGAGGCAGTGTGGAAGATATATCTGGGACTCCCTGGCCCTGAAACTGCCGGAGGCCCCATCCTACCCCTGGACCTCTGAGTTGGCTTTCTCACCAGGAAACACGAAGTCCCTATATACGGGTCCCGCTGTGTTGACATCGCAGGCAATAAATTCTGGACGGGAGGTGAAGACACCAGCTTGTATTCCTGGGACCTGCGGAGCTACCAGAGGCTTCAGCAATTCAATTTACAGAATGAGGTACCTGGTCAGCCACTGTTGGGGCTGTGTGCTTCTGCCATGGGGGTTGGATGCAGGCAGTGGCGGCCGGTGTGTGTGTGGGGGGGAGTCCAGGTTGGAAGAGGCAGCATGCACCATGGCCTTGGCAAAGCTGAATGCTGATCACAAAACTTTTTCCAAACAGATCCTCAGCATTACCCACGATCCTAGCGAGGAATGGATGCTAGTGGGCTTGAGAACGAGTGATATCATAATCCTACACACTCATCGGAAGGAGAAGTTCAAGGCTGTCCTACAAAAATACACCCACCACCACAGCCTCAAGTTCTCCTCCTGTGGTGAGGGAGAAGCAGGTGGCCCCTCCGCTTCCTGTTTGGAACCCACTTTCCCATCTTCTTTCTCTACCCACCCCTGTTTCTGTTCTGGCTGCCTCTTTGCGGGAGCTTCCTATATAGAATGACAGACAGCCCAAAGACAGGCAGACAGAGGTGGCACGAAGCCACCTGATGGTCCCATTCACTGGTACATGTCACCATCCTGTGTGTGATGGGAGGCTGGAGGCAGATAAGGCAATGGTTTGGGTCATGTCTCTGATTTTTACAGACAGGAAAACTGAGGCAGAGAAAGAGAGTCACCCCTCCCCCCATCTAGTTGAGGACAGAGTTGGGACTGGGGTGTGGGCTCAGCCTCTCGCTCCCCCTCTGTTCTTTCCTTTTCCAGGCAGCTATTTTGTGACCACACTGGACGAGTCGATCCATTGTTTAGCGGCACCTTCTCTACAAAGGCTGTTTCAGGTACTGGAGGAGGGATGTGCAAACCAGGTACTTGGAGCTCATGGCCCTAGATCCAGATGTTGGACCCAGAGAGAGAGAGTGCCGGGCAGTGCCTCTAAGACAGCGATCCAGGGCATTACACAAGGAGAGCACTGAGAATTAAGATCCCATGGACTCACGGCTTCTACCTCGAGCCCCAAGACCTGGCCCTGTCTCCAGACCAAACCTCTGGGCTGTGCGAGCCTCGAAATAGTCCTAAATGAAACCTCCCATGCCTGGCTCAAGCTTTGCCCCTGCTTACCATCCCTCTTTCCACCCCCTCTTTCCTTCTAGGTAAAGGAGTCCTCAGATATCTTGTGTTGTGACATGTCCTCTGACAACCGGTATCTGGTCACGGGCTCCAAGAACAGTGCCACGGTTTACCAGCTCATGTACTGAAGATCATGCGCCATGGTCCTTCCAGTGAAGACCCCGAGAAGGCCAGTGTGACTTAGCATGCTGGGCAAATTCAACAGCTGTCACCCTCTTGCCTCAGCCCTCATGGCCCATCTTCTGCCCTCTCCCACACCTCCAGCCTGCACTTCGGGTTTTAAATTATATGCCTTGAGGCTTTTCCTATATTATTTTTCTGCCTCTGATTTCTGGGTTTGGGCAGGAAATGTTATGAGATATGGCCTTTAATTAATAAAAGAGCAAAGCATAATCCAAAATGGCCTGGATATGTGTCAGTCATTGTAATAGCTTGCTTATACCTGTCTTTAGTAAATGGAAGCGTACTCTCTTAACTTCCTTGCAGGTGGGACAGGGATTATAGACCAGACTTACTTCTGTTTGTAACCTTTTTCTGCGAGGTCAAAGATTTACTAGAATCTTCAAAAAGCTCAAGAAAAAAATATGTATAGTTAGGCCTTTGTGGGTTCTATCTGTGTCCTTGGATTCAACCAACAATGGATTGAAAATATTCAGAAAAAAATTGCTTTTATACTGAACATATATAGGTTTTTTTCTTTATTCCCTAAACAATACAGTATAACAACAATTTACATAGCACTTAGGTTGTATTATGTGTTGTAAGTAATCTAGAGATGGCTTAAAGGATGTGGGGGATGTGTGCAGATGATATATAAATACTATACTATTTTATAAAAGGGATCTTGCTATCCATGGGAGCTTCTGGAACAAGTACCCCACAGATACCAAAAGATGACTGTACATGTACAAACTTTCAGATGGTATCAGGAAGTGGCTAGACCCACGATGCTCAGTCACTACCTGAGTTAGAAACCCAGGAGATGGTCTCCCCATGTCCTGAGGCTGGCTCCCTTTGTGGGTCTCACTTGGGTAATGTAGGAACTTCCTACTTCAAGCTACCTCTTTGTACCTCACTCTGTATATAAGCCCTGGTCCTCATCCTGGAATTTGGTACCAGTCAAATTTGCCTGTCTCATTATTTCAGGACACCTTCCTCCTACTTGAGCACGCAGTATTTCCTTGAAAAAGCTCCAGCTCCTAAAGTAAAGGGATATAGTCCTGCTCTCTGGTCCTCTTCCATCTGCCTCTTTGCATGGCTGAGGTAGCAGCCACCCATTGAAATCTGCAGCTTGGAGTTGTCACTTCAAGGAATCCTCACAGCCTGGGACCAACTGTCTCATTCTTTGCAGCTTCTAGACATGGTCATGTCCCCAGTTCTTGCCAGGGGAACATGAATGAATAATATGTACCATTTCTGGGCCAGGCCTAAAGAGGCAGAATGTCCTGTCCCCTCCAGAGACTTTCTCATTCTACCAGCTCAAAGTAAATGAGGTGAAGACCCCAGGGCATTACAATCATAAGGCAGAAGCATCCTGTGCAGGATGCTTTCGTACATCGAAGGCAGGACAGAGAGGCCCACTTTGGACTATTACATGGGAGGAAAATAAACCTGTATTTGAACTGTTACTAGTTTTGAGGTCTGTATGTTACTCTAGTGTTAGAAACACTAAACTTTTTCTTAAAGGGCCAGGTAGAAAATATTTCAGTCTGTGCTGTGTGACTTTCTGTTGCAACTGCTTAATTCTGTTGCTGTAGCATGAAAGCAGTCACAGATAATACATAAATGAATGAGTAAGAGTTTTATAAATAAAACTTCATATGTAAAAAGAAGCGGTGGGACAGATTTGTCCTTCTGGGTAGTTTGCCTACCTCTGCTGTTACTGGTATTCCTCAAACTAATATAAGCAATTAGCATCCATTTAAAAATAAACAGTGGGTAGAGGCCATCAGTAAATCTATTCTTCTGGGCCATAGCAACAAAGGACTCCAAAATTTATAATGTCTATCAAGGGATGAAAGAATAAACAACATGGTGCAGCCACATTGAAAAATGGTTTGGCAGTCTTCAGAATGTTAAACATATTGTTATCATGTGACCTGCCATTCTGCTCCTAGGCCTATGTCCAGAAGAACTGAAATTGAAAACAAAGTCACATAAGTTTGAAGGGAAATAATTTTGAGTGACTAAGAAATTCTAATAAACTCCTTTCTGGAAAAAAAAAAAAAGTAAAAGCCCCAATTAACAGTAGTGTTGATAAGTCAAAGAGTAGTATTATAATCTCTAGGCTAATTACAAAAAGAATATTAAACAAGTGTTCAGTATCCAAACTAATAAAAACACAAAAGTAAGAAAATCAACAAAGAACAGGCAGAACAAAAAAGGAGAAACTTAGGTAGATTTAAATATATCTGCAATTACATTAAATGTAAATGAGCAAATATTTCAATTAATCGATAGAGGTTGTATGAATGAATTAAAATAACTATTTAAATGAGACAACATAAAGGTACAGAAAGAATAACAAAAAAAAGACTATGAAAAATACTTCATGTGTACACTAAAAGAAAACCAATGTCACTGTATTATACTAGACAACATATATATAAAACAAAAACCAGTATTTGAGATATAGATGAACACTTTATATGTGTTTAATTCAGATTTTAATTCAGCAGGAAGATACAAGAACTCTGCTTTCAGGCTGGGGTTGCAGCTCAATGGTAGAGCACTTGCCTAGCATGACTTTAGCCCTGGGTTTGAAGAATACTCTTGATGGAGCCTCAAAATACATAAAAGAAAAGTTGACAAAATAGACAAATGTACCTCTCACAGAAACAAACAAAATTTCATGAGGATAGAGAGTTGAATAACCGATTAGAAAATTCAGAACAATGCACACAACCACTACAGAGTTCATACATAGTCCACCCCACAGAACATTTACCAAACGACCTCATATTGACAGAAATTCAGATTTAATTCTTATAGAATACATGTTTTTGAACACAATGCAATTGAGATAGAAATAAATAAGAAAACTTAAGAATTTCCCTGTTTTGGAAATTAAGAAACGTACTTCTAAATACTAATAAAGAATGTCACAACAATTAGATCTAATTGTAAACTATCAAAAATGAAAAGGTCAACAACAGCAAGGCTTAGAGCTTGTCCCACCTAGGGACAACGCCTACCACCGGATCTTTTGGACTGGAAGCTGGTTGGCGGGAGGGTGGACAGTCATTGGGGGTGTGTACTAACGCTCAGCTCTGCAAAGGGTCTCTATACACCCGCGGCTCACAGATTGGCTCTTGGGGGCCGCGGGATTTGGAAGTCTGAGTTCTCTCTTAAGACTTCCTTACTGGGTGGCATCGCATGTTAATGTTATTATTTTCTCCAAATTTAAGATTCTAGGAAGGCAAAACAACCATGCCCTCTCTGAGGCTCGAACTCAGGACCTTCAGATTATGAGACTGACGCGCTGCCCACTGCGCCAAGAGGGCTGCTGGTAGGAGGGCGTTCTTTATTACTAAAGAGAAAATGTAGTAGCACCTTCCGCCCGCGAATCGGCCTCGGGAGAGGACTCCGGCCGCAGGAGGGAGGACGAGGGAGGCACGTGGGGAAGGAGGGTCTCTTTCCGGAACGGAGCGCCCTGGGCGGGGGGAACCTGCTCGGGTTAGGGCCTCCCGAGAGCTGCGTCCCGGGCTGCTCTGCACCTGCCGGGCGCACGGCCGAGGGGAACCTCCCAGCGCGCCGCGGGTCACCCGGGAGGAGGGGGTCTCTGGGTTATCGGGGACGCCGGGCGCGCAGACCCGGTGCGGCCGAGTGGGGTCAGGCTGGGGAGGGGCGAGCGCGGCGGCGGCGGCGGCGGCTCCCAGTGAGCCGCGGGGGCGCCGGGAACTCGCGCCCGGCTTCGGGAAAGGGTCGCGGGCTGGGAGCGGGAGCGCGCGGAGGAGGCACGTGCGAGTGGCCGGCCCAGCTGGGGAGCTCAGCCTTGGCCGCGGTGGTCGCTAGGGCAGGTCGCCCGGGAGCTCAGCCTCGGCACCCCACCTTCCACGAACGGTGGGTGTCCTGGTGGAGGAAGGCTGGGGGGGGCCGGGGTGCGGCGACCCGGAGTCTCCGCGCCCAGGCCCGGGGGTAGGGGTCGAGATGGGAATGGGGGTGAGTTAGAGATGACAAGGGATGGTCTAGGAGACTCTTGGATGTGACTTAAGTAGAAATGATTATCTTGGGCTTGCTAACTCATCTCCATTTTTTTTTTTTAAATCTTTTTTCTTTCAAATAATGATTTAGTTTCCTCCATATATCTATACGGGCATCTCGTCTTGAAGGGCGAAAGAGTCGCCCTGGAACGTTGTCTGAGTAGAGTTTAAAAATTCTAAGAAAAGGCAATAAGAATAACGAATGCAGAAATTGTGGTGTCATTCCCTCCTTGCTCCTTCAGGGACAGTTCTGCTAGCGATGCCCAGAGGGATGGATGCCCAAGGAATCTTCACCCATCCCATTTACCCCCAATCACTATGGGGTAAGATGACTACCTGAGATGCACCTTCTCTTTCACTCTCCAAACACTTGTGAATTTTTCCTTTTGTTTTTATTAGAGTAATACTATATTTTAATATACCTGGTAGGGCTAATCCTCTCCAATTTCTTTTCTGGGTTCTGGGGCTCCCTTATTTCACTGTGGTTCTCTCTTCATTGGTCTTCCAGGGCATGTAGTGTCTAACTAGCACATGCTGTGGCTTCAGGTGGTGCTCCATTGTTCGCGGAGGCATTAGACTGGGACCTTTGTGGAGGGACAGGATCTGAGCCAGCCTCACCACCCCACATTCCACCCTCTCAGAAGGATGCCTAAGGGAAGGTTCTTGGTCCTTCCTTTAAACCACACTCTGCTGCCATCTTCTGGGATAGACTCAGTGGGGGAAGGCAGGTGTTCAGTGAGGAAAGGGCACTGACCCCTGCAGGTCCAGAGAGTGGCTTCCCTTGCCACCCGTCTTGAGGGGGTACAAATTCTGCCCAGCAGAGCCGTGGGACAGCTGTCATCATTCCATCTATACTTTTAGAGCTTGTAACAGTTGAACTAAGGAACAGTTAGTTAGCCTATTGGAGGAAACAGTTTGAGGAATAA